GCCGCCCTCGGCTTGTGGCCTCCGGAGGGGAGGGGAGCGGAGCGGGAAGCCTCGGCTTTATTTCCCCTGTTTTAGGAACTTGAAGAAAACCTACGGACTTCGCCGGGCTCCTCCCTGCTGGTGGATATCCTGCAGAAGGTGAGGTGGGGTGAGGTGGTGTCAGGGCCGTACCCCCGGCAGCGGGCCCGGGCTGCCGCGAGCGCGCGAGGCCGCCTCGCGGGACCAAAGCGATTGCATCCCTGTAACGGGTTTTGCTCACGGTTACAAAGGTTTTGTGTCACAGGCTTTCTTTGGGCCCAGCACAAGAGCGGATTTCCGTCTCTTCCTGTTATTTAGCTGTTCTTGGCGTCAAAATTAAGCCCCGCGTGCCGGGGCACAGACGTCTTTAATGCCACAGGCAAGGCAGCCCAGCTGGCCCTGCACCCGGGCGGTCACGAAGGAGGTGATCCAAGGCAGCGTGGGATCCAGCAGCCCTTGTAGCGCTTAAACTTTGCATGGGGACAGGAGATCGCGGATAAGGCAGCAAACCGAAAAAGAGAGAAGAGAAAAGCAAAATAATTGGACTCTCTTTCCACTCAGTTTTGCTATTTATTTTCTGAAAAGTGAAAAACGCATTTGCTGCCGCAGATCTGTAAGCTAACAAACGGATCAGAAGTCACCAAATTTCATTTTCTGGCTCAGCATCGCTTCTTTTAGCTACAGACTGAATCGCAATGCATTTCATGACACAAAGAGCCAATTAACGGCTCCCGTGTCTTCCTCCGGCCCCTTACTGCCTTTCATAAAATCTTCACTCGCTAACTGGCTTCAATTGCTGTTCTTGTTCTAGACCGTTCTCCACCCCCTGTGTGTAAAATATCCCCCTTCCACCAAGTACAGAAGATGCTTTCTGACCGAACTCATCAAAAAGGTAGTGCTTGCTTTTCATGTTGGTTGCAACTCTTTTTTTTTTTTTTTTTCCCCTTGAAAATATGCCAGTTTTACATTATGGGCCAAGCTGAATTATTTGTATTAACAAAAAACAGCATTCAGTGTAAATACTGTGGCCAGTGATGTATTAAACTGGTACTTAATGCGTGTACGTTTTCTGTTTCACGACAAACAATTTGATACCTGCTGCTGCCCTGTTCTCTTTCGCACAGCATGAATCCACAGCAGCTGAACCCCTGGATGAACTGTACGATACACTGGCAGGTATTTTAAATGAAGAAGAATCTACTCACTGTTACAAAAACTACTTACTGGTAAGAACCAACGCTGCGTTGTTATAAATCACTTTTAATCATCTGAGCTAAGCGATAATTGGCTTTAGAAGTAGCCCCCCAGAAACCCGAAGCGCTTCCTACCTTTTTCCAGGTGCTCATACCGATTGTAAACTGTGAAATCCATTGTCTGTGCTGATCCCTCCCTCTCTTCACGTGTGTGTCCTCCAGCCCACGGGAGAGCCTGTTACCCTTTCCGAGAGCGTAGCGATTATCTCTGGAGGAACCACGGGGCTCGTCACGTGGGACGCTGCTCTTCATCTCGCTGAATGGGCAATAGAGAACTCTACGGTTTTCAGTAACAGGTAACGACAGCAGCACGGACGGAAAGATGGGGAAAGAAGCCAAGGTATTTCCGTTCGTATCGTGAGCGAGCTATGCAGCTGTAATTTAATAATATACAGTATTTACCCCCCCAAATAACTGAAATGACTACACCCTTTTGCTACTGGCAACTGCTGCTCTTGTCTGCTCTGCAACAGTCAAACTTTAACCCAGGAGAGGACCTTGTAGTTATTTTAAGACAGGTTTTAGGATCAAAACCATTACACCACGCAGTCAGACATGCTCCGTAAAGTAGGCTGTTAAACTTCAGCTACCGCGCTGTCTAGCCAGTACCTTTACCTAGCGCGCTTCACTATGACGGGACTCATCTCACCTAATTTTTGATGTGAGCACACCTAACTCCATAGTCTAGACGTTGTTTATAAGCAGTCGAGAGGAATAAGCACTTTTGGGGAAAGATTCAGCTAAGTTGACTTTAAATATCGACCTCGCAAGGAAAGGAACTGTGCTGCTGAAGCGTCTGTTTCTCTCCACTGACTATGAAAAGAACTGGACAACCAGTTTAGGTGGAGACGACCATGCTGCAGAAGCCTAAAAGCAGGTGGAATGTATCTCTCCCCAGCAGTGAAAATGCTTTTTACCACACACAGCAGCAGTATTTCAAGTACTTCATTTTTATGCTTGTAATTGCATCTTCAGTGTTTACCAACTCTTACCAGTTATTTGAAACAAAGATTAGATTGTAGATGGTTTACTCAAAAATTATTGAAATAATATGTAACTGATTTTACCTTTAGATACACTTAGAATGTTTGGATTTCCTAACTCAATTTAGAGTCCTAATAAGTACTTTTTTTACTCCGTTACCCTTCAGGACAGTCTTGGAACTAGGAAGTGGGATCGGCTTCACTGGAATTGCAATCTGTAAAACCTGCAGTCCCAAGACATACATATTTAGTGACTGCCACCCCCGTGTTCTCAGGGAGCTCACAGAAAACATCCGTTTGAATGGCTTTGTCTTGGAGCCGGACGCTACTCGTCATATCCAAACGGAGTCCCAAGGCCAGGAGGCAGAAGCAAGGAATTGCCAAACCCCAAAACTAATCGTTGCAGAACTTGACTGGGGCTCAGTTACAGAAAAACAACTGTTGGATCTTCAGCCCGACGTCATCGTTGCAGCAGGTGCTTTACACTTCCGATTATGCCTCGCTGCGTGCTGTCGTGCAGGAACAAGCAGGTTAGAGAGAGAAACGCAAAGGTAGTTGTGGGCGGGATTCACTCAGCCCTACTCCAGTTACCGTACCTGGAAGCGTGTGACAGATCTTCTCCCCGCTCGTTTCGCCATTCTGTCTTTTTCAGATACTCGGTGGTTGTTTACGTAAGACTGAAAAGTAAATTATTTTTCCCTTCCGTATTTTTTTAAAAAGTCCAGAAAGAGAAGATGATAAATCTGCCACTTTCAAGAGCCCCATCAATAACTGGCAGTCTTGGCATTCTCTTGACGGATAACACATATTTTAAAAGAAAGTAACTTTTTTGGAACTTGCCTATGTAGAAATCTGGAGGGAGTTTATAAAAATCTAATAATGGAAAATCTAGCAATAGTAAGATCTTGTAGCTGTAGCTACAGGATTTTACTCCCCTGATTTGGGGCTTTGCAAAGCAAAAATTACTTAAGAATTTAGGTGAAAAAAATGACAAAATATACTGCCTTTGTCATCGAAGTATCGCATGATGCATTAAATATGTGACTTCTGTAAAACGAAGTCACTGCATGTCCGTTACCTAATGCCAACCATACTCTTCAGAGAATGCACAAGCCAGCCCAAGCTGGACTCGTGAAGGCGAGGCAGTTCAAAACCGAAGGTGATTTCTGTGTGTCCGCTATCTGCTGTTACTAGTTACCGCAGGACGTTCCCTTATTACACTGCATCAAGAGTAACTGGGGTGTCTGTCACTGGAACGCGTACGCGCCTCGGCACTTCTGTGTAGTAAACCACCAACTCTTGAACATCAGCCCTGAACATGAGGCCGAGACATTCCAGACTCGACGGTTGGACTCGATGATCTTAGAGGTCTTTTCCAACCTCAATGATTCTATGATTCTATTCTATGAACAGACTCACAGTGCTGATGAGTAAGGCTGACATTTTGTACCCCGTAGCGATCAGTTTTACCTTCGTCGCTATTTCTGCTGTCGAGGAAACTATTCAAGGTGAAAACTACTGCAGGTCCAGTCAAGTCTTTTGCAATCAGCCTCTAAAATACAGATTTTTGAACAATGTGGTTTCGTTCTGCTAAGGACAGTCGTAACAGGGAGTACCAGTGCTCAATGTTTTTGCTGTCTCCCTTAAGATGGGCTTAAATACAGTATCTGACAATCCGTTTACAAAAAGGAGCACGGATTTTTAGTGATTTTGGACCAATGTTAGAGATGAGGGCAACTTGACATAGCACGTAAAATAGAGGCATTTTCTAAGATCTCTTCTTGGGAATTTTTAACCCTGAATACAAAAAACATTCTCCTGCAAGGCATTTTACGGGTTTTTTTTGTAGTTTTCATTCTGCTTTTTGCTCAATTCTCAATAAATATTGAATGTTTTCCTTTTTGTGCAGATGTGGTATATGATCCAGAGATAATTTTAGCCCTTATTGGTATGCTACAAAAACTCTCCACTTTCAGAGCAGATAGAAAACGTCCCGAGGTCTACATTGCTTTCACAATTCGTAATCCAGACACGTATCACCTGTTCCAGACTGAACTTGGTAGGTCACTTTTTCATGAAGTGTATCAATAGTTACGGCCTTTCCCCATTACTTAATCTGTAGTAGAGATGAACAGGAGCGTTTTTTGGTGATGGGTATTGTCCAAGAGTGAGATTCTTATCCTAGAGCTGGATTTAAGAGCGGTCTGCCTGAGAGCAGTAACTTTTCCACATGGATTTGATCAGGAGATTGGAACTTGGCTCTTTGCTACATCCCGTCTATCACAACTCACATCTGTTAGCGCCAGCTTGAGATGAACTGCAAGCATGGTGGCAACAGGAAACTAAAAAAGGGTTAAGCTTGAAGGAGGAAAACCATCTGTGCTGCGCTGTCACAGTGATAACATTCAAGATAAAAAAAAATAGGGAGGGATTTTTGATTTTTCTTCATATACTCTTCAAAAGCCTGTCTTTTGCAGTCTACTAGCTGTACAGCTGGTCTGCAGCAATTGGTTGATTCCCAGAATTATGGTGAGTGCATAGCAGCAGCACTACTGTTCATTTTTAAAAATACATACTACAGGCATTGCCTGTAGCTTGCTTTAACAGCATGCTAACGATCTCTTCTGACAGAACTCAACATGCAACTTTTGCTCTTCATTTTATGAAGCAGAAATGTGATTCCCAGTGTTTCTCTTTACAGGTAAAGTTGGGATCGGATGGCAGATTATTCCAGCCCACAGCAACGGTATTTTCCTCTATGACGTGCAGCCAAACGTAACTATTCTACAGCTATTTATATAGTCTTGGCAAATATGACATAATTAGAATTTTCAACAGGAGCGATCTCGTCCTTGCAACAGGATTATCTTGAATTCTAGAAACGTACGTGAGAGGCACTGAGGATACAGCTATATGCACGGACTGTTGTCAAAGTGAGTTACCTTTCTTCCTGTAATTGTCAGCATGCACGCAAGCAAGCTGCTGCCCCCGAGAAGTATCTGTGAACCTCAGGCAACAGAAAAAAAAAAAAGCCCTAATCGTACTGCGCTTGAAAAGTATCTGTGAACCTCAGGCAACAGAAGGAAAAAAAAAAAGCCCTAATCGTACTGCGCTGCGATTCTGTAGAAGGCAACAGAATTGAACTGGTTTGTTTTTTTTTTTTTTTCCCCAAACTGTGTTTTGATTTGTAAATAATGGAGGCACATCTGCAGGATCACAGGGTGAGCATCTCACACTGACAAGGGAGCAAAACAACGTTTCATAGTAATAAACACTCTTTAATATTAAAACCAGCTGTAATTGTCTACTCTGCTTTTTTATACTTGTATATACTCACATACTTGCAGTAGGGGTCATCTTAAAAATGAGTAATACCTACAGTGAACGTAGTAGATAACGTCACAAGCTTACACGATGCTGTAAGGGGAGGTAATGGACTCTGCTGTAAGTCAGGTGCATCTTCACTCTGGAGCGATGACAAAAATCAGAACTTGATTTACACTTCTCTCACGTAAGGACGGTCACTTTCACAACTAGCTATTGGGAAGCCATCCTCTCAGGCCGGCCAGAAAAACAAAAAAAGAATCATACTCTCTAGCAATGCTCTACGCGTACTGCGAGGAGGAAGAACTGAGCTCACCTTCTTTCAAACTTTCCGTAATCCATGAATCATGTTCCTGTTGGACAGTATCGGTCCCGAAGCGCAAAATCAAACGTGCTGCTCTTTCTCCTCTTTTGACTTCCTTTTCTGTACCCTGTTTTAAAAGCTACTTAAAAGAAAATGAACAAATACTTCAGCCTCCTCCTCCTTCTGTAGTAATGGAGAGAAAATGGACGATAGGTAACGGGAAACTTGAAAAATCATCTTATTCTTCAAGCTGAAGGAGGGCACGACTGCTAGTATTAAGTTGGACATACAGAAGTAACCCCACCCCAGGTTTTAGCTACCTCTGCCCGAGAAGGAAGAATTCAAAGGTTCTAAAATTTCTAGAGTAAATGCATGCTAGCAGCCCAAACAGGAGCTCCTTTATCTCCCCTTACACAAAATCCTTCAAGTCACTCAAAAGTTCTGTACAGACGGCTCATTTTGGATCTAAAAAAATTTATTATAGGAAGATGAAACCTCTCTAAAGCTTTTGGCATCACTGTTTAATTAGAGAAGCGCCTAATTTACCTCCACGTGCACATCAATGGCTAAAAGGGAACAGCCAAACCACCAAATCTTGTTTGAAAACGGGGCGGGGGGGGCGGGAGGAATCGCCAGATAAATTTCTATGGATCATTCTTCAGCCAATGAGCTAGTGAAATTGCCAGACTCCTGCAGTAAGCAGCTTGGACTCTTATTTTCACCTTCCCACCAGTGGAACCAAATCACTGTCACCAATCTTTTTTCACAAGAGAGAATGTCTACTGTAACCACGGCGCAGAAGGGGAAAGGCGAGATTAGCAAACGGCTGTCTAGCTTGACAAAAGCAGGTATTAAATGGTTACTCAGTAAGCGGGTTTAAAAATGCTGGTGCAGAACCCATTGTAGTCATCTACCACCACTGAACTAGGAACTCTGAAGAGCAGTAACCACATGATAAAACCACGCACATTTATTCCTTAAATGACTGACATCTATTTTATAATCAAAAAGGTGATGGAAAAACCATCTTGTAAGCATTAGGTCTGCGTATGAATACCGATATTAACAATAAAAAGATGAAGGGTATACCTGAGTGAGCACTCGGAAAGTGAGGTGCCCTTTTATTAAGTTAAACATATTTTAATAACACATTTTGGTTTTATTTTTTTCCTTTTCTACTCATCTGTTCAAAAAGGCATAAATTTTACATTCTTTCTCAAGGTAAATGGGCACATTCACTTCAGCGTACAAGGACAACGCCCACTGAAAGGTCTATTTTCCTCTAAGTGTTCAGTAAAGCTGTCACATACCAGTGGCTGTGCTTTCACATTCTTGCACACACTGTAAAAAGGAAAACAACTTTGAAACAAAATGGCTCCGTCTCAATAAAATCATACAAGAGGATATTCAGCGCTTGTCTAGGAAAGACTAGCCAAGAACATTAACTGGTTGAAAAAAACAAAAACCCCACTGTATCCTCAGTTCAACTAAAACAATTCAAATAAAAGGCATCTACCATTTGCAAGAAAAAAAAACATACCCACATCACCTACTACAACAGGTATTGTCCTTACTGTACAATAGGTATAACCGGCAATAGTTTACATATGTATTCAAGTATCTTCACCAAAAAGTGACCTTTAAGCAGCACAGGTAACAGATTTTGCACATATGAGTTCCTAGAGTAACTAAGCCGCCCTCTCACTTTCTAAAGATTCGTCCCAAGTGATAAGGAAGGAAAGGCAGTCCAGATGGCAAGGCTCAAGCTCTTCAGCACAGGAACCACGTCTTCCCTCAAGACTTATGCTGTTACCACACAACAAATAGCCTCAGCTGCACCTTCAGCACTGTTCTTACTCACATGAGAAGTTCAAACTGTAAAGGAAGAGGCGTGTCCAAGCACTTGTTCCAAGATGAAGTAGTTAAACACTACAACTATAGACAATGGAAAGCATTTATTCACTCTTTATCAAATCTATGCATCTCCAGGAACGTATTCGCTTTTTTGACACCCTCCTCCCCCACAGAGTCAGTCATTCTGCCCAAGCAAAGGAAGAACAGTCTGGTCCCAACTCTCATCCCAGCGCAGCTCCTTGGACGCACGAAGGTTTTTTCTGAAGTTGTGAAGTTTGCCTTCCAGTTTAGGAAATCCCAAGAAAAGCATCTGTAAGTTAAAAAGGAAAAACATAGAAAAATACCATCATATTACATTTTAGGCTCATTCTAGCCTCCCCAATGTTAATCCTCAGCTACAATGCTGCAGTAAGAGCACACTCTTTGGTCTGACCCTATAAATAGTGAACGGTAATATTTAAAATGTTCTTGCCAGCTTCAGATTTATATTCAAATAGAAGTCAGGCCAGTAACATTCACCAGGCAAAGCAGTATCTTCTGAGAATGCAAAATACACAGATGATAGTCAGATATGAAAAGGCGGCTCACATGGTAGCACCTTTACAGTTATAGCTGTGGGGGGGGGGGGGAAATCAGCCAAGCCTTTACCTTTAGT